GTGTTCTGTCAAAACATTATTGAATTACTAAGAATTATTATTTTTATTTTTATTTTTTTTTTTTTTTTGACACGGAGTCTAAGTTTGGGGGTACATGTGAAGGTTTGTTACATAGGTAAACATGTGTCATGGGATTTTTTGTACATATTATTTCATCACCCAAGTATTAAGCCCAGTACCCAATAGTTATCTTTTCTGCTCCTCTCCTTTCTCCCCTACTCCTCCCTCAAGTAGACTCCAGTGTCTGTTGTTTCCTTCTTTGTGTTCATAATAAGCTCTTATCACTTAGCTCCCACTTATAAGTGAGAACATAACGGTATTTGGTTTTCTGTTCCTGTGTTAGTTTGCTAAGGATAATGGCCTCCAGCTCCATCCATGTCACTGCAAAAGACAGGATCTCATTCTTTTTTATGGCTGCATATTATAATTTTTTTAATCTTTATTTTGTGTATAGCATTCCTTAGACATAGGACTTTGTTTTCTTTGTGTAATTTGCATTTCTGTGGCCCTTCTTTGAATTTTGGATTCATGAGCACATACAGGAAGACATTACAGTCCATTTAGGAATTCCTTTTTTTGGAACATTTTACCTCTTTCACCTGTGATACTTTACCACAAAAGGAAGTCTGTTCTCAAAAAGAAAATTAGGTTTATGTATTAGCTATTATTTATTAGTCATTTAACTCATTTAAATTATTAGATTTGAAGACTTACTGTAGTCCTTAACACAACTTAACTCCCTTTTTACTGAGAGAAAAGTATGTATTGTTTAGCATTCAGGGGAAAATATATATATATACACACACACACACATATATATATATATATATATATATTTTTTTTTTTTCTCTTCATCTCCTTCTCCTATACTGTCATGGCTTTAGGTTTTAATCTTACTTTGTAAGGCCAAGAATATTGCATTCAAATCCCAGACTATTGAAGTCATAGATGTAATTTGCAGACAGAAAAATTTTGTTTTGTTTCCCCTAGCCTTATTTTGCCATTCCAGTCATACATTTTTGTTTTTATAGAATCTAGCCTTTTTCCCCCCTTCCAATGCTCGAGATAAAAACTTTAGCTATTTTTCCCTTTTATTCTACCCATTAATAGTGTGTCATTTGAAAGAGGTAATTCTCCCTATTGAGTTGGCAGTGTGGTTTGACTTGTTAACTGACATAATCTTGCCTTATCTAATGCATCATCACTGCTCACTGCAGCCTCAACCTCCCAGACTCAAGTGATCCTTCCACTTCAGCCTCTCGAGCAGCTGGGACCCCAGGCATGTACTACCATGCCTGGCTAATTTTTGTATTTTTTGTAGAGATGGAGTTTTACCATGTTGCCCAGGCTGGTCTTGAACTCTTGGGCTCAAGTGATCTGCCTGCCTCAGCCTCCCAAATTGCTGGGATTACTGGTGTGAGCCACCTCACTAGACCTAATTCTCACTTACAAAATAAGATACCTATAACAAAAAAATGAAGAGAACATCTCTTTAAATGAGGAATCAACTTATTTCCTATCACACACATATGCTTAGGGAGTAGGTTAAAAATCATTTAAGATTCTCAACTCTTGTTTTGAAAAACACTTAATTAACCTTGTTAAATATCAAACTTTATGATCATAATCATAACCTTAAGGGAAAGAGCGTCTTTTCCTTTGGCACATTTGCTCACGGCAGGCAATCTTCTTAGTGCTGAGTGTTTTCCTTCAGCCTAAATGCTAAAAATTCAGTACACAGTCATTAATAGGGATGACAGCGATAGCATTTCATTTATGAATATTCATGAAGTGAAATCCATAGCATTAATTACATTTACATACCTGAATACAAGCGAGCCATAAGTGATAACTAAGCCTTAAAAAAAATGTTGCTGACCATATATTGTATGTTTTCTTTTAAATGTTATTTAATAAGGGCGAAGGTGACATTTCTGTCAAAAGGCATTTGGGTATTTATAGTTAGAAATGTTTTTAGCAAAGAATTAAAGCACAGTATAATCCTTCAGTTTTCATAGGATTTTGTAGGGCTTATAAATGTTCTTTAAAGGAAGAAAGTATAAAGAAAAATACAGGTGGTTGAATACAGGAGAAACCTTTTATATGAATAAGGGAATTAATGGTTACTTGATGCTTATTTAGGATCATAGGCTTTTTATTCTATGAGTTTTAATTCAACATATTTTGAAAGGATACATGATTGAAAATAATTCATAATTTATGAGAATGAGATTTATTTCCTTTTTTTTTTTTTTTTTTTTTTTTGAGACGGAGTCTCGCTCTGTTGGCCAGGCTGGAGTGCAGTGGCGCGATCTTGGCTCACTGCAAGCTCCACCTCCCGGGTCCACGCCATTCTCCTGCCTCAGCCTCCCAAGTAGCTGGGACTACAGGCGCCCGCCACCTCGCCCGGCTAATTTTTTGTATTTTTAGTAGAGACGGGGTTTCACTGTGGTCTCGATCTCCTGACCTTGTGATCTGCCCGCCTCGGCCTCCCAAAGTGCTGGGATTACAGGCGTGAGCCACCGCACCCGGCCGAGATTTATTTTCATCCAGTTTTGTGATTGAGAAACTCTTAAGTGGGGGAAATAACGTTCTATATACATTTTTTTTTTTTTGAAGCAGAGTCTTGCTCTGTCACCCAGGCTAGAGTGCAGTGATTTGTGATCTCAGCTCACAGCAACCTCCACCTCCAGGTCCAAGTGATGCTCCCACTTCAGCCTCCCAAGTAGCTGGGATTATAGGCACCTACCACTACACCTGACTAATTTTTGCATTTTTAGTAGAGATAGAGTTTCACCATGTTGGCCAGGCTGGTCTTGAACTCCTGACCTCAAGTGATCCGCCCACCTCAGCCTCCCAAAATGCTAAGATTACAGGTATGAGCCACTGCGCCGGCCCAGTACATTTTTAAAGAAGTTAAAAACATATGCCAATGTGTTTAGTAGGTAGCATAATAGCTATATTGATTTTAAAATGTAAGCTAAAATGCCTTTGTTTGGACTCCTGTTACAAATTACCATAGGTGGTTTAGATAACAAACATTTATTTCTCATAGTTCTAGAGGCTAGAAACTACAAGATCAAGGTGCTGGCTGATTCATTTACTGGTAAGGGCCCTGTTCCTAGTCTGTAGACGCAGGCTTCTTGTTATATCCTTGTTATATGAGGGAGAGATAGAGGGAGGTCATCTTTCTTGTGTCTTTTCTTATAATGGCACTAATCCTATCATGAGGGCTCCATTTTCATGACCTAATTACTACCCAAAGTTGCCACCTTCACATACTATCACACTGGGCAGTAGGGTCTCAACACATGAATTTTGGGGAGTCACAAGCATTGAATCCATAGCAATGCCATAACTTGAATTCCTTCAAAGTATATAAGATTAAATATCATCACTGCCTTGAAAGGACAGATTGTGTTTATGTTTTCAACTGTTGTCTTTGAAACAAAGTATCAGAATTAACTGGTTAATCAACATTTTAGAAACTCATTGAAGCATATTCAGTTAATTATACTGAAGCATATTCAATATAGTGGGCCCTCCATCTGCTTGAGTGCCATGTCCTTGGATTCAACCAACTGTGGTTGGAAAATATTTGGGAAAAAACAAACAATAAAAAATAACACTACAACAATAAAAAATACAAAATTTAAAAATTCAGCATAACAATTATTTACATCTTATTTACCTTATATTAGGTATTAGTAATGTATAGATGATTTAAAATATACCAGAGGATGTGCATAGGTTATATGAAAATACTACACCATTTTAGATCAGGGACATGAGCATCCATGGATTTTGGTATTCGAAAGCAGTATCAGGAATACTTTTGTGCCAGGTGAGGTGGCTCGTGCCTGTAATCCCAGCACTTCGGGAGGTTGAGGTGGGAGGATTGCTTGAGCTCAAGAGTTTGAGACCAGCCTGGACAACATAGACAGACCCCATCTCTACAAAAAAATTTAAAAATTAGCTGGGCATGGTGACATGCATCTGTAGTTCTAGCTACTTCAGAGGCTGAGGCAGTGGGATGGCCTGAACCTGGGAATTTGAGGCTGCAGTGAGCCGTGTTTGTGCCACTACATTCCAGCCTGGGCATCAGAGTGAAACTCTGTCTCCAAGAAAAGAAAAAAAAAAAAGAATATTTTTGCATTAATTAATAAGTGAAATATAAAATTACTTAGAAACATTTATCCCATTCTTTTATAATTTCTATTTTTGTATATACTTTAAAATCCATCTTATATATAATTGTATAATGTATATTAGATTTTTGTATATATAATTAAGACATTGGCAAGTATGTTAACTTTTTATTTAGTTTATTCTGTCATTTCATACTGTTTACATAGTATAGAAGGTCTTTTCATAATGAATATTAAAGAACAAGACTGACACACTAGTATAGACAAGTTATCTTAGATCCTTTCTTTATGCTATGGGATACCTGTGAAATAACATCTGGTGGAATTTTTCTCTTTATTATTATTATAGATTTTATGTTAGAACTATGACAGTAGTCATTAGAGATGGTAGATTATGATCAATATTCTCCGATTTAAGAATCAAGTTAATTTTTTATACTTTAGAAAGCTTTTTAAATTTTAAGTTAAAGAAGGAAAAAAAATTTATAACTGAAATGCTTGTTTACCTGAAAGATTCACTTCTGTAAACTGATAGTGTATTCACCAACAGTAGCAGATAAATGAGGTATTAATAGGCTTGTAAAAATTGGGGTAAGGGGGAAGCTACTGTGTATTTGGCTTAATATGGTTTTTAAATGCTGATGATAGAGTTATCTATTTTTAAATACATTGCTTTCATTTTTGGCTACATGAATATCCTATTTTCTTCTTTTGGAAAATATACTACTGCATTACCAATATCACTTTTAGGTTTTGTTTTTTCTTGTCTTAAAATAGTCAAATTGTAGTTTTCTTCACTTGCTGTGTGCTCTTTCAAGATTTTTTTTTTACTTGCTTTCTTCTTCTTTGCAGCAGTCTCCTGGATTAGGTAGGCCTATCTGGCTCCAGATTGCCGAGTCTGCTTACAGATTCACTCTGGGCTCAGTTGCTGGAGGTGAGTGACATGTCTGTGTGCTGTTTGAGGCTTGTGTTAATGTAATCTTATCTCACTAGACTAAGGCAGATCAGCAAAGGTGTAGTTCATTGTTCCCATGGGTCACGACTTCAGGGCTTTCTGAAGTGTTCTTTATTTTTACCTATGATCAGGGGACTTGTCATAGCAATGACTGTGGACCATCTGGCTCCAGTCTGTCTTCAGGACAAAACCTCTGTAATGATGTGAAAGTCTGGGATGCAGTGCTGCACTCTCCTTAATCATACTGGCTAAGGCCAGTATAAAAAAGTGGAAAATGAAACTGTTTATGGGGCAGGTTAAGAAATTGAGATTTGCTATTATCCTTATCATACTAACGCAGGAACAGAAAACCAAATACCGCATGCTCTCACTTATAAGTAGGAACTAAATAGGAACTTATGAACCCAAAGAAGGAAACAGACGCTGGGGTCTACTTGCGGGGGAAGGTGGCAGGAAGGAGGGGAGCAGAAAAAATAACTATTGGATACTGGGATTAATACCTGAGTGATGAAATATGTACAACAAACGCCCATGACATGTGTTTACCTATGTAACAAACCTTCATATATACCCTACACCTAAAATAAAACTGAAAAAAAAAAAAAAAAAAAAAGAAATTGAGATTTGAGATATGAATCCAGAACCTCATGAAATAAAACAGCGTCTCAAAGTGATTCACAGTCAAAATTTGAGAGACTGTTTTTGCTTAGATACTCTAAATAGAAAATGTGTACAATCGGCCGGGCACGGTGGCTCAAGCCTGTAATCCCAGCACTTTGGGAGGCCGAGGCGGGTGGATCACGAGGTCAGGAGATCGAGACTATCCTGGCTAACATGGTGAAACCCCGTCTCTACTAAAAATACAAAAAACTAGCCGGGCGTGGTGGCGGGCGCCTGTAGTCTCAGCTACTTGGGAGGCTGAGGCGGGAGAATGGCGTGAACCCGGGAGGCGGAGCTTGCAGTGAGCCGAGATCACGCCACTGCACTCCAGCCTGGGAGACACAGCGAGACTCCGTCTCAAAAAAAAAAAAAAAAAAAAGAAAATGTGTACAATCTGAAGTTGCTTTGTTGAGAAGAAACTAGCAGGTGTGATTAAAATGCTTACGATTTTTTAAGATAAGCCTGAACTCAAAATACTTTTTTTTTTTCTTTTCACTGTCAGTTTTAGAAGTTGCAAACCAGGTTTCGGCTTTCAGCAGTCAAAGTGTGTAATACTTTCGTTCATGTAAATAAATTTTTCAGTCCCTGAGAAATTTTAAAGCAGAGCCATATTTTCTTTTTTCTTTTTTTTTTTTTTTGAGACAGAGTCTCGCTCTGTCGCCCAGGCTGGAGTGCAGTGGCCGGATCTCAGCTCACTGCAAGCTCCGCCTCCCGGGTTCCCGCCATTCTCCTGCCTCAGCCTCCCGAGTAGCCGGGACTACAGGCGCCCGCCACCTCGCCCGGCTAGTTTTTTGTATTTTTTAGTAGAGACGGGGTTTCACCGTGTTAGCCAGGATGGTCTCGATCTCCTGACCTCGTGATCCTCCCGTCTCGGCCTCCCAGAGTGCTGGGATTACAGGCTTGAGCCACCGTGCCCGGCCTCATTTTCTTTCAAACCAAATTCTATACATAGGGATAGGATAATGTTGAAATGTGTCTCCAATATTGTGGTTGTAACTATGATTAATTTACCGAGATGCTTTATTAAACTAAATTTTAAAATTGTAGCCACCTAGTGTACGGATATAGTCATTTTAAGAAGTAACTGGCATAATATTTAGGCATTTAATGGAAAATATAAGTAAATGTTTTATATAATAGTTTAATGTTGTTATTATAGAAAACTGAGTGTTAACTATCTAATTTGGGAAGTGACTCGATAATCCACTCTGTAATTTATGAACCTAAGATATCAAAGAGCATTCTTGACAGTTGTTCTCTGAAGCAGCTGTATTTATGGATTTCAGTGGTTGCTATAGCCTGCTACCTCTAAGGTGTGTGTGAGGGAAAGAAAAATACTAACATAAAGTCTCTTTTGTGAAAATACATATTGTGTTTTATTTTTTCATCCTTTAAGATAAGATTTGTCATCCTTATGGACTCTCCATTTAATTGTGTTCTTTTTTAAGCCTAAAAATTCTTCTGTTTGTAGCTGTGGGAGCCACTGCAGTGTATCCTATAGATCTGGTGAAGACCCGAATGCAAAACCAGCGTGGCTCTGGCTCTGTTGTTGGGGAGCTGATGTACAAAAACAGCTTTGACTGTTTTAAGAAAGTCTTGCGTTATGAGGGCTTCTTTGGACTCTACCGGGGTGAGTAAGCAAATCCCAGCTGCTGAAGTTAGTGATTTGATCTCACAAGCAGCAGATTTTAACTCACTAATTATGGAAGCCAATATGTAGTATGCCTAACCAGACTAGGTCTGTTTCTCTCTTTTTATTTTCTCTTTGCTCATTTCCCTTTTTACATTCTTTCTGGTGATTAGCAATATTAATCTGCAAACAAGGTCTTCATTTCTTCTTCTTGCTATTTATATTTCTTGGTATCCAAATTATGTGTTTGTCCCAACATGGGTCTATGTCACCATGCTTCTGCAAACCAAGGCATATATCTGCAGGTGGAATACAAGGATGATAGCTAAGAAATAGAGAGCTGCTTTTCTCAAAGAATTAAAGAGGAGAAATACATCTCTTTTCTGCGAAAAAGAAGCCAGGCTACCACTCAAAGATGAGTTTACCCTCCATATATTTGTTTCAACTGAAAGAAATATCAAATGTTTTTGTCTCTTTCAGGGAACATTTATAAATTTTTTCCAATGAGTCATGTGAAGGTTTAAAAAAAAAAAAAAAAGAAAAAAAGGAAAAACCCTTTGGTTCCAAGTCTAATTCTTGCTCCTTTCCCCCACTTAGCTCAGAGGTGTACAGTCAAAACAGAGAGATTTTCTTTTGCAGGGAATGTTAGCAGCCATTCTAGACTGAGCACAGTGCAGTTGGCAACAGAGGCAGCAGCCCCATGCAGAATTCTCCCCACCCCTCGTTGTCTTTGTAGGAACTTGTCTCTTTGGAGAGAGAATGACTTTCATGTATGTGTTTCCACATTAGAATATAGGGTTTCCTTTGGGAGGGAGATTAATTTTTTAATCTCTTTGGGCGCCACTTGGGATTCTTTGAAAATGCTCTCTACATGCTCAAGTCCAGGCCATTTATGTAATTTACTGTACTTGTTTGTTTGCACACACAAGCTCATTAATCCCTAGCCTATTCTGAGCTCTGTTGAACTATTTGGCTTAGAAATCTTCCTAAGAAAGACTGGGCCCGAACAAAGCTTTGGGCTCATGGACAGGAGAAAAAAAACACCTCTGGTTAACATTATATACAGGTATTCAATCAAAAAATATAACTCCGATAAACTCATAATTGAAGTAGAGGGTCACAAGGATGTTCATTTTTAGCATTATGTATAGAATAAGAGGAGAGAGTCATTCTGAAATCAAACTAGGCTCAAGTACCTTGCTCTTGAGAATGAATGTGATGAGTTTTCCTCAAATATTCAGAACTGTAGCCTCTTTGAATTCCACCTGTACAGCATGTACCCTGTGGAAAGGGGAACAGTATCCAGAACGCAGATCTTTCTGTGTGAGTGCTTGTTTTAACTGATTAAACCCTGCATATCCACATTTTATGTAATAGGGAATCAAGGTTAAGTGGCATTAAGGTTGTTTTTTTCCTTGATACCTTCAGTGTTTCTTTGTTGAATAATGACCTTTCTCCTCTTTGGTATACTTTTAAATTGCAAAGAAAATGTCCCCTATTAAAAGGAACCTAGATATTTACTGCACAGTTTAGCCTTCTCAATGAATAGGTGCTTACAGAAGATTTCATTTGAGAGGGATGTCATGTTAATTAAATGGATGCAATATAGCAAGTAGGGGAGGGGATTGTTGGTTTTATTCAGGATGTAAGCTCATAAAAGCAGTTCTTTAAATGAGAGACTTTTGTATTAGGGAGAAGATTGTAGGAGTCCTGTATGTGAGCACTATGATTATTGAGATTGTCATATATTGCTTGGAACTGGTCCATTATTCTGTCAGATGATTGACAAAATTGTTGACAGATTAGCTAAATTTCTTTGCAGGCAACAATGATAAAATGACACAAATCAGTACTTTATTAAATTCCATGAGCCTTATTGAGGCGAGTTGTAAAACAAATATGCATGCTGACATGGTTGTATGGGAGTTAGATTAAAAGTAATTGAGCCTGATAATCACGAGGGTTAGAAAGTTAAGACTGCCATCTGCTGATTTATTCTTTTAAATCAGTCTGCTACCCATGAAAAGTGTGTGTGGATTTGTGTGTATCATTGATAATTCAGTCTGACTGACAGTAGCCAATATGTATGATTACTTGCTGGTTCTCAGCTTATGGAAAATCACTCAGCAGTATCCTCAAAGCAGGCTGCAGATCAGCAGTCAGCAAGCAGGCAAACACATATATAACTCCCGTTTGGCTGGATGATTTAAAGAATATAAAATGTTTATTGTTAGCATCTTTAAAAAATGTATAGGAAAAAGTATGCTAACAATTCGGATAAGCTGTGTGCTTTAGAAAGCTGAGCCCAACAGATGTTGTTTATTTTTTTCTTTTCCAGTTTACAACCAGCCTGGGAAATGTAACTTTCTAAGGATTATGATTTCCTTTGTTTTGAGGGGATTCTTTTAAAATGTCTTAAGCTTGACATATATTAGTAAATAAGAATACAACAGGCATATGTTTTTGCTTATAGGAGATACTCATTATACAATACTTAAAACTGCATTTTTCTTTGCAGTTTTGGCTTCCTTTTAAATAAATGAATATTGAATGCTGTGTCTCTCTGAAGAGATTATGGGAGTTAGTGTTCTATAATAACCAAGCCACTGTATGCCATTATGTAGGTAGTACAGTTTGTGGCAAAATCTGGGTATGCTTAACAGCATGCTTTTCAGAGCTTTTCCAAGTGTACAGTGTCTGTGTATGTTTATATGTTTTTGGTTATAACAAGGGAGGGAATTTGGTTACATTTTCATTGGCAGTGTTCCCAGAATAGAGAAGACCCATGGCTCTGTTTCTTCCTCAAGGACTTTTTGGGAAGTGTTGGATAACCGGGCTTTAAAGTAAGCATGCTTAAGAAGAGGATTTATAGCCTCAAGAAACATGACATTATACTGTATTTGTAAATAATGATTACATATGTATACAGAGTTTTCAGGATAATCTTTTTCCCATTTTAATGAAAACTCTAAAATGTTTGATGGGTAAATAATATGGGGGAAACTCCTTGTTGTTGGGCTTGTGTTTTCGTGTCTGGTACATCTATATTGCTGATGATTCTGTCCCTTTACCTAGGTCTGATACCACAGCTTATAGGGGTTGCTCCAGAAAAGGCCATTAAACTGACTGTAAGTTTCTCTCTAACTGAATTTGTGTCATTTGTTTAGATTACCATTAAGCCAAAAAACTGAAGTCAAGGCTCGGCATGGTAGCTCATGACTATAATCCCAGCATTTTGGGTGGTGGGAGGATCACTTGAGACCAGGAGTTCCAAACCAGCATAAGCATAGTAAGAATTCAGCTCTGCCAAAACAACAACAGCAACAAAAATGGAAAATTAGCCAAGTGTGGTGACACATGCCAAGAGGCTGATATGGGAGGATTGCTTGAGTCCAGGAATTTGAGGCTGTAGTGAGCTATGATCATGCCACTGCACTCCAGCCTGAGCAACAGAGCGAGACCCTGTCTCAAAAACAAAACTAAAATTGATACTGCCGACACTGGCACACTATCACAGAATTTGTAAAACTTTAATTTTACATATAAGCATTTGATAATTTTTAATTTTATCATAAGACAAATATTTTGCTGACTTGGAAAAGCAACAGTGTGCCAGAAGAGAAACAGTTGGGAATTTTGGTTAACTGATGTTGTCTTTCTAATTAGGTTAATGATTTTGTTCGGGACAAATTTACCAGAAGAGATGGCTCTGTTCCACTTCCAGCAGAAGTCCTTGCTGGAGGCTGTGTAAGTATTACTCTTAGGCGCTTCTTGTAACAAATATATTCCGTTAACCTTTTTGCACAGATATGATAGATATCTGAGTGACATTTCCCTTGAACTCAAGGGATTCTAAGCAGGTTTTCTCGATAATCATATGGAATAACTTTTAAATGTTATTGTAAAAGCTAACTGGTTTTGAGTATAGAAAAGAGGTGGCATTTTCCACCAGTTACAATGGTGATCATTAAAAAGTCAGGAAACAACAGATGCTGGAGAGGATGTGGAGAAATAGGAACACTTTTACACTGTTGGTGGGAGTGTAAATTAGTTCAACCATTGTGGAAGACAGTGTGGCGATTCCTCAAGGAGCTAGAACTAGAAATACCATTTGATCCAGCAATCCCATTACTGGGTATATAACCAAAGGATTATAAATCATGCTACTATAAAGACACATGCACAAATATGTTTATTGTGGCACTATTCACAATAGCAAAGACTTGGAACCAACCCAAATGCCCATCAATGACAGACTGGATTAAGAAAATGTGGCACATATACGCCATGGAATACTATGCAGCCATCAAAAAGGATGAGTTCATGTCCTTTGCAGGGACATGGATGAAGCTGGAAACCGTCATTCTCAGCAAACTATCGCAAGAACGGAAAACCAAACACATGTTCTCACTTATAGGTGGGAATTGAACAATGAGATCACTTGGACACAGGACAGGAAACATCACACACTGGGGCCTGTCGGGGGTTGGGGGTTTGGGGGAGAGATAGCATTAGGAGAAATACCTAATGTAAATGATGAGTTGATGGGTGTAGCAAACCAACATGGCACATGTATACATATGTATCAAACCTGCACGTTGTGCACATGTACCCTAGAACTTAAAGTATAATGATAAAAAAAAAAAGAGGTAACGTTTTCATCAGCTCTATCTCTTTGATGCTCCTAAAGCATTATCTTCCAGACTTTTTTAAAAGTTCTAATTCCTATTCCTTTTAAGAAATGGAGTACAGAAAATATAGTAGTGGGTAGAGTTACCATTCGTATATGTTAACTGGAACTTTAAAACAAGTGTGAGATGGCTGATTAATTGGGCCCTTATATCTTAGATATAGGACTGAGTAAGCCATTGTTTAATTATAATTTTTCTTCTTTAGAGGCCAGAGGGTATGGCAAACAATAATAATGGTAACTACATTTCAACTGTTGACAGAAATTCTGAACCCAGAGACTGATATTTACTTAGGGCACAAAGGTTTCTGTCTTTAAAGTGTAAGCATGACATTGGCTTTGGACCAATTCTTAAATCTGTTTGCAACTCAACTAATTTCATTTGTGGTATTTGTTTCATATTTGATAATGTATGGTTCGTTTAAGACTTGTTTAGTCCATTTTATTCTTGGAAACATTAATAACTTCCAGTTGAATTGGCTGACAGTCTTGGCTAAAACTTCCTCAGTTGCTTGTGAAACCTGAAGTGATGAGGTCAGTGACCCTGGCAACATTTAATTCAGAGACACTGCCTCGGGGGTCAGAGAGAGAGAGAGGTTGCTTCAGGTTCTCTTTGATATGTGTCAGTGTGGCACATACCTGAGTCCTCACCTTTCTGCAGAGTTGCTTTGGTAGAGGTGGACTGCTGTGTGGGTGTGTGTGTGCCTGTATGCATGCCCCAGCACATTCTCAGGAAGGAAATCTCTTTGGCTACATTTCTTTTTTAATGAAGAGTAAACAGTGGACATAGAATAAAACTTTTGCTTAGGTGGATCACCAGAAATGAAGTTTCTCTTTTTCCTTTATTCCAATTAGATTCTGTAATTGGTTCTTGTCTAGAGAGAGAATCTTTGCCAATCATAAATATTCTTTTTCTTGGTCGTTTTAAGTTTCTTTTTTTTTTTTTTTTTTTTTTTGAGATGGAGTCTCGCTCTGTCGCCCAGCCTGGAGTGCAGTGGCGGGATCTCAGCTCACTGCAAGCTCCGCCTCCCGGGTTTACGCCATTCTCCTGCCTCAGCCTCCCGAGTAGCTGGGACTACAGGCACCCGCCACCTCGCCCGGCTAGTTTTTTGTATTTTTTAGTAGAGACGGGGTTTCACCGGGTTATCCGGGATGGCCTCGATCTCCTGACCTCGTGATCCGCCCGTCTCGGCCTCCCAGAGTGCTGGGATTACAGGCTTGAGCCACCGCGCCCGGCTTAAGTTTCTGTTTGGTTAAGCTTTCTAAGTCATTTTTATGACAGCACATGCATACCTTTGCCAGAAATCTTCTAAGTCATGCTCTTTCTGTTCCATGTAACTAATTATTTGTTTCTATTTGCAATATCCAGGTTTTTGGCCATGAAGCTGACCTGTTTCCATGTCTGACATGTGACCTAAGTGGTTAAACCAAAATAAGATATTTAGTTCCTTTGTTCTTCCTAGCTACAGACCCTCTTTATAGGTTTGAACTTTAGGAATTTTTATTGAAGTCTGGGGTGCCTTGAGGGTTGTGCTGACACTCTAAATCTCTTCCTTAATCATGACTCATTTCTGGAGGCTTTGATGGATTATCTAGCGGGAAATTGACAGCATGAAAAATATCAGATTGGACTCTAGGCAGAATGATAAGGTTGTCTGCAGTTCTTCACCACAAACGTTTTCTGCTTCCTCCTTTGCTCTAAATCTCTTCTTTCAGGAAGAAGAAAAAAGTGCAATTATTGAGTTTCTACTGACAAATTCACTTATACCATGGTATAAATGATTTTTAAAGCATAATTCATTGTTTCTCCCCAAAGTCTATAAATTTCAACAGAGAATAAAGTCTTCAAAAGGATGAGTCTCTCTTTATAGAATATCAGGCTTTGTGGAACATAGGATACGCCATTTCCTAAATGATACCTGGCAAACAGCCAACAGATTAACACTGTGAAGAGTGGCTGCCTGTGAGCCTGACCCTGAGTCCTCACCATCCTGGGTAGTGGTGGTGATACGATGTATGATGTCCTTGTGGCTTTTGGCTGAGTGCTGTCAGTGCCACTAGTGTGAAGAATACTGCTGTTCTTCCAAAAATTACCCAATTTTAAAGATGCACCTAATGCGTTAACCTAATGTAGGTTAATTAGGAAGAAATGGCTCAAACTGAGTTCTAGGCATTTTTTCCCAGAGGAAGGATTAGCTAGGACCTAGGCCTTGAGTTCCCTGTAGATGAGAGGGAAATTTTATTGCCATGGAAATGACAATATTCTCTTTTAGGAAAAATGGTGTGTGTTAACTAGATCATGAAGTGACCTGGAAGTGAAAATCTCTAGTCCTTGGGCATTATATATTTTGTTGTTGTTGTATGTTTTGTTTTATGATCTGGTTATTTTATTTATTTATTTATTTTTGTTTTTTTGAGACAGAGTTTCTCTCTTGTTGTCCAGGCTGGAGTGCAATGTCACGATCTTGGCCCACCGCACCCTCCACCTCCCAGTTTCAAGTGATTCTCTTGCCTCAGCCTCCCTAGTAGCTGGGATTACAGGCATGTGCCACTGCGCCCAGCTAATTTTGTATTTTTAGTGGAGCCAGGGTTTCTCCATGTTGGTCAGGCTGATCTCGAACTCCCGACCTCAGGTGATCCACCCGCCTCGGCCTCCCAAAGTGCTGGGATTATAGGCGTGAGCCACTGTGCCTGGTCTTTATGATCTATTTTTAAAGGCATGTGATTTTTGTTTTTTGTTTGTTTGTTTTTCTTCTTTTTCGAGACAGTATCTCAGTCTTGCCCGGGCTGAAGTCGAGTGGTGCAATCTCAGCTCACTGCAGCCTTGACCTCCTGGACTCTGGGGCTCCTCCCATCGCTAAGCCTCCCCAGTAGCTGGGACTATAGGCGCATGCCACCATCCTCTGCTAATTTTTGTATTTTTTGTAGAGATGGGGTTTTGTCATGTTGCCCAGGCTGGTCTTGAACTCCTGGGCTCAAGCAACCCACCTGCCTTGGCCTCCTAGTTTTGGGATTACGGGTGTGAGTCACCAGGCTGGCCAAGGCCTGTGATTTTTGATACATGCAAAATAATACAAACAGTATAATTATAGAATAATAATAAAATGAGCATCCCCATGGTTCTAGCACCCAACTTAACTAAAACTTTACTATTGTTAATGCTGATTATTGCTTTTGATGTAGCTTGAATCAGCTAATGACCAAACATACTTTTCTTACTGGGCTGAACATTTTATAGGGATTATCTCATTATTATTCCCAACTAGAGTTGAAAAAACTAAAACCTTAGTGAAATCCAAATTTGGACTTAGTAAATGTCAAAATTGTGATTCAAACCACTTCTATCTCCAAATCCATATTCTTTTACACTTGATGTAGGTTTTCATTTATTTGTTCTTTCATATATTCACTTATTCATTGAATACCTGATATGTTTCATGCAAATTTTAAAACCCAGCTTTAGGCTGGGTGCAATGGCTCACGCATGTAATCCCAGTACTTTGGGAGGCCGAAGCAAGTGGATCACCTGAGGTCAGGAGTTCGAGACCAGCCTGGCCAATATAGTGAAACCCCGTCTCTACTTAAAATACAAAAAAATTAGCTGGGTGAAGTGGCGCGTGCCTGTAGTCCCAGCTACTTGGGAGGCTGAGGTAGGAGAATCGCTTGAACCCAGGAGGCGGAGGTTGCAGTGAGCTGAGATCGTGCCACTGTACTCCAGCTTGGGCAACAGGGTGAGACTCTGTCTCAAAAAAAAAAAAAAGGAAAAATAACAGCTTTGTTGAGATATACTTACCATACAGTTCCCCCATTTAATGCGTATAAAATTCAGTGTTTTGTTGTGAAACCATCACCACAATCAATTTTAGAACATTTTTATCAACACAGAAAGAAACCCAGTACCTTTTAGCTATTACTTCTCAGTCTTCCCACGCCATCCCTAAGACCTAGGCAACTGTGTTGCCCAGGCAGGAGTGCAGTGGTACGATCAAGGCTCACAGCAACCTTGAACTGCCAGCTCAAGCAGTCCTCCCACCTCAGCTTCCCTAGTAGCTAGGAC